ATCAAAGACCTTGGAGTAAAAGCAGACATTCTGAAAACATTACAGGAGGAAATAGGAGAAACCCTAGGTCTCCTTGGCGCAGGCCAAAATTTTCTTTATAATAGAGACCCGGAAACACAACAAATCAAAGAAAGGTTGGACAAATGGGATTGCATGAAGTTGCAGATCTTCTGCATGGCAAAGGACATAGCTAGCAAATCAATAGAAAGCCCACGGATTGGGAGAAGATCTTTACCATACAATGGACAAGGGTCTCATATCTAAAATACACATAGTTCTTTTTATGGGCAGCTTTCTAAGTAGTTTTTTGGGTGCTTATTTGTTTTGTGTCAGTCCTGGGCTTGAACTCTGGGCCTGGGCACTGTCCCTGAGTTTTTGTGCTGAAGACTAGCAGTCCACCATTTGAGCCACAGATCAACTTTCATCTTTTTTGTGGTTAGTTGGAGATGAGAGTGTTATAAATAAATGCTGGATGCTAGTGGCTCATGCCTGTAAGAATCCTAGTTACTCAAGAGGTTGAGATCTGAGGAACGCGGTTCATAGCCAGCTCAGGCAGGAAAATCCACGAAACTTTTATCTCCAGTTAACCAACAGAGCACTAGCCTTGAGCAAAAAGAGCTCAGGGAGAGTGCTAGGCCCTGAGTTCAAGCCCCATGACTGACCAAGAAAAGAAAACAAACTCCCATAGATTTTCCTTCCCAGGCTGGCTTTAAACCAAGGTCTTCAGATCTCAGCCTCCTGAGTAGCTAGGATAATGACTGGTACCCAGCTTTAAGTGCAGTTATTATAAAATATTCAATTCATAGTAAATATTGCAAATTCATCTAAAGGAATTAAAATTGCTAACATGATGGGTGCATTGTTACATCTTTTGAGAGCTTTTCCTATTAAGTGTTCTGAAGCATACATAAAAGTGACAGAAAAATGAACTCTCTTACATACCCATCCCCAGCTCCAATTTTTCACTGTCATTTACCTGTACCAGTTCTCTGACATTCACATACTACATTGGCTATTTTCTTTTATTTTAAAGTAAATTTTATGTAAAGCTTAAAAAAAATAAGTAGCCACATTTTAATTATCACACCAAACAAATTAGTGATTCTTTCATACCATCTTAAACCCCCTTCCACATTTATATTTCCACAAAACATCTCAGAAATACCTATTTTACCATTGGGTGTGTACAGATCCAGACCCAGCAAGGTTAACAGAGAGAATCTTAAGAGATTCTTCATTTTTGGTAAATTCTTTGTTACCCCCGCCCCCCATCTCCACACAGTCTTTTTTTGCAATTTATTTGGGGGAGACCCACTGTTTGCCTGCTACAATCCCCCCATCCTGAATCTGTTTACATTTTCTTGGTGCCTGCTAGTGTGTACTGTGATACAAAATACACTGGACTCCCTAATGTTTATCTTCCCAAAAGAGTTTACCTGAGTCTAGTTGAGCTCCAGAGCTAAAGATTACCAGAGCGCTTGGGCTTGTTACCTTTTTTTGTTTTTGTTTTTGTTTTTTTGGGGGCCTGAACTCTGGGCCTGGGCGCTGTCCTTCAGCTCAAGGCTAGCGCTGTACCACTTGACAAGCCACAGCGCCACTTCCTGCTTTTTTCTTTTTGCTTATGTGGTGCTGAGGAATCGACCCCAGGGCTTTATGCATGCAAGGCAAGGGTTCTACCACTGAGCCACCTTCCCAGCCCTGGGCCTGTTACCTTTTAAAGGCCTCATCAGTCTGGTTCCATTTAGTGTTAAGAGTGTGTAGAGTAAGCAGTAGTAACATGACTTCAGAAACACCACTTGGCCTGTGAGTGCTGAACTAGCATCTTGTATTCATTTTGTTTATTGGCTATATTAGGTGGGTTCCATAGTTCTACTCTGTATTACATCTTATTTTTCTTTATTTTAGAATTTTCTTATTGGAGTGCAGTGTAAGGGAGGTGAGAGTTGCTGTGGCCACCATTCTGGAGAAGACCTTAGACAGTGCCTTGTTTTATCAGGATAAGGTCAGTATCGCTTTGAAGTTTTCATTTTTGCGTTCTGTTTTTGCCAAATGTTCTCGGTGTACATAATAAGAAAGAGAACCTAGAATTGGAGTCTGGGCTTTTTGTCATGTGACAAGCATGAATGCTCTGTAGTGATTTTTATGATAATATAACAGGGCAGAAGGCATTCTGTCCCTTCCTCATGTTCTGGAAATCAAAGTATGCTGGGAGTTCAGGTTTGTTTTTGTCTGCTTCAATATTTTCTCTCCAGAACACCACTGTTGAGAATTTTTGTTAGATCTCTGAACCGAGACTAACCTGAGTCTAGACATTTTAGTCTAGACATGTTGAGCCACCCCTGGCTTTATCTTTCCTCATAGCTTTGTCCTCATCAAAACCTACTGTTAGCAATCAAATCAAATAATGCCATTCATTCAAGGACACTGCCATAGTAGTTCTTCTTGGTCTCTGTTATTTCCCAAAGCTTTGTTTCTCTGCTTCTGAATTTTTTCTTCTTCCTAACCTTATTTTCTACAACATATTTTCTAGTTCACAGTGCCACATCTATGTGTTAAAACAAGCTATGACATTTATTCTCACAGTCCCTAAAGTGTCTTAGGAAAATAAATGGCATACATTGTAAATCTGAATATTCAATGTTATTAAGTCCTAATGAGTACAGCAGTTACTTCCCAAGTTTGCTGTTTCAAACAGCTGACACTACATGGAAAACTTTGAAAAATGTTATTTGTAAAACAAATTGGCTCCTCACAAACATTGGCTGGATCTAGTGTATTTCAATGAACTAAATACAAATTATAGGAATTGCTTCAACTTCAAATGTGGCTTTGCTGTGTAGCCTTGAGCCTGTCCTTTTAGGAGAATGTACCAGCTATATAGTGCCTAGTACTTAGATACTTAATTCCCTCTGCATTGCTTATTCTAGTGTGCACTTTTAGACCAGACAAGCTCAGGAGCTTTACTCATTCCAAAATGAACATACCAAAATATGCCCTTTAGGAGGAAGGTCCTGGGAAACTGACTCACTTCCAAGAATCATCAGGAAGTTTTCCATTAACATAAATATCAGAATCATTGTTCAAACAAAACCTTAGCCTGGATGTATCCAGGTATCTAAAGTTGGTCATTGGGAGCTGCTTCGGACCTTTGAATACCATTGCTCTGAGACACCCTGTGGAAGTTTCCTGAAGTGTCTCAAGAGTCCTTAACATAAGGACTCTTGCTCTGCTTGTTCCTCCCCTTTACCAGACAACCAAAGGAAAAAAGAAGGATTAGATTTAGTGCAGCCTCCATGTTGGCCATAGCACCTACCAGCCTCTTAGATAGAAGAACAAGTGGTAGACAGGGAAGGTGGTGACTCCATTTGCCAAAGCCATTTGCCTAAGTAAATTCTGTCTGATACCCACCTCAATAATGTTCATATTTATTGTTCCCCATAGTGGAAATGATGCCTCTTGCCACCCACTTTATATACTGCCAAGTACTTTGAAAATGAAGTGCTATATAGCTGCTAAATTTTACCATACCTAACTGGTGTGATAGGATGGATGGAAGTCTATGAATGCCACCTTCAGAAGAATAAGCTAATAAAAGTAGTAAGCCTGGTCTTAATGCTCAGGTCACTGAGGAATTCTAGAGAGTTGTCCAAAAAACATTTTGGGTGGGAGGGGAAAAAGAAGCAATGTCATAACCAAAAATGGTTTCTAAACAAATAAAAATGTTTTTCAAAGCTTTCCATGAGGCGTCAGCGGGCTTTCAAGTAAGTTCCCAGTTGAGTCAGTATTGCCGTTGTCATCCTGTCAGGCTGTTGCTTTCCATGCTCTCCATTGGCTTGATTTCTAGCCCCTCTGCCTGTGTCTGTGTTTTATTCTTTGCATCTGTGACTATGTGAAGAAGTAGTCTAGTGGAGGGAGGGATTCAGAAATAGGAACCCAGAACATGCCACCTTTTTTAGACATAGATAAAATTGGCTCTAAAGAAAATGTCACTGCTAGGCAATAAGATCATGCCTTTGACGCTGAGATTCAGGAAATGAAAGTAGGTTTTCCTTTAGTTCTTGCTTATGATACCAATCTTTTGCTGAAAGGTAAAACTGGAAATTCTGTTCTTACTTTACAAAAAGCATAAATCATCTTAACCTGACTGAATTATATCAGTTTCCTTTTGTTCTTAAAGTGGTTTATTTCAAATTAATCCTGTTACAAATGTGTCTTCTTTTTTTCCCCTTTTTCTTTTTGTAATTTCCTTTTTCCTCGAACCAGTTAAAAAGCCTTCATCAGTTACTGGAAGTACTTCTTGCTCTTTTGGATAAAGATGTCCCAGAGAATTGTAAAAATTGTGCTCAGTATTTTTTCCTGTTCAACACTTTTGTACAAAAGGTAATTTTTTCTAATAATCTTCCCTTAGTACAAAGAGGTTATAATCTGAAGAAATTTTATACATGGAAAAATTGGACTACTCAATAGACTCTTTGTGATGTGTGTTTCGTGGTTCTTAAACATCTAAATTTGAGGGTTCATATCACTTACAGGAATTCTTTCTGATAGAGGCAAGTGTAGTTACTCACTGACAATAGTGGAAGCCTACATTCACACCAGTGGTTAACTATAGTAGCTATTGTGGACTAATGTGAGGCTTAATATTCCCACCCCCACATCCCCATCCGAGTCCTGGGCCTTGAACTCTGGGCCTGGGCAATATCCCTAAGCTCCTTTTGCTCAAGGGTAATACTCTACCACTTGAGCTATACCACCACTTAGAGACTTTTCTGTGATAAGAGTCTCAGGGACTTGCCTGCCCAGACTGGCTTCAAACTACAATCCTCAGATCTTAGCCTCCTGAGTTAAGAAAAATTTTAATGCTTAAGTACTTGCTATATTTAACTTACAGCATGCAACAATATATTAAAACTTCCTATTTAGCTAACTTTTTTTAAACAAATGGGCACACTGCAGTGGCTCATATCTGTAATCCTAGCCACTGGAGAGGTGGGGATTGGGACAGTTGAAACTTAAGGCGAGCCTGGGAAAAAAGTTAGTAAGACCTCATCTTAACCAGCAAGCCAAGTGTGCTGATACATGCCGTCATTCATTCAGTTACATGGGAAGCATAGGTAGAAGGATTATGGTGACAGGCTAGTCTCGGACCATGAGATACTATCCAAAAACAGTAAAAAGATGGGAAGCCCGGCAATGGTGACTCGAGTTGAGGACATGGTTTAAGTGGTAGAATACTTGCCTAGCAAATACAAGTTCCTGAGTACAAACCCAAGTATTAGCAAAAAATAAAAATGAGGAAGGATAGATGAAGTTTTTGTCTGAATAAATGTAATTTGTTCCTCTCAATGTCTTGTGACAGCAAGGTATTAGGGCTGGAGATCTTCTTCTGAGGCATTCAGCACTCCGACACATGATCAGCTTCCTTCTTGGGACCAATCGCCAGAACAATCAGGTAGTGACTGCTTTCATATTCTCAGTGTAGTACCCTGATTTTCTCCTGGTTTCTTTTTGTAGAGGATCAATATTTTTTATTTTATAAGTCCCAAGCACTAACTACTACTATGTATGCTTTAACATTTTGAGGAATCAATCACTTTATAACTTCTTTTAGAATTGAGTCTGAAAAAAAAAAAAAAGAATTGAGTCTGATAATAACCCATGGAAGTGATTATCCATCAATCTCCATCACAGTAGGAAGTGTGAGTATCCGGGGAGGAAAAGTTCTGACAGAGAAGGTGAAGATGGAAAAGACCCAGGAAATGGTAGCATTGCTCCTTCCTCCCGGGAGTTAGTAGGAATGCTTTGCTGATCGTTGAAATGCACTTATGATACTGGGTGACTATAAGTAGATGTTATAGGTACAATGCTCTTAATCAAATGAAAGTTTTATAGAAAGAATATTGGATATACCCACACATGACTCTCCTCTGTTTAAAAGTCTCATATGTCTCTTTTCTGTTTGATAGATTTTAAGATACTAATATGAAGTAATGATGTATGCAGTGTATTATGACCTGACACACCTGTTCACTTTGTGGTATTGTCCTTTAGATTCAGTTCAGTAAAATAGTTTCATCCCATTCTCAAGACAAAAAGTACAGCACAGAGGTATGCAGTGATGACAGTCACAAAAACGAATATGTTGGTAGGTCAAGAACTTAGGCCCAACTATGAAGGTTTCAAAGCTAAAATCTTTTCTCTGTGTGCTGTGCATTGTTTGAGCAGAGGTTTCTTTCCTTCTTCCAGGGAGACTTGCCACTTACATTCCTCAGTTTCCAGGCACATCACCCTGCTGCCCCTGGACTCTATTGACACTGATGATTAAACTCGCTGTATTTGTCCTGCACATATAATTAATATTATTTTGTGCTTATAGGACACATTACTTTCGACACATTTTCATTTTTAATATTTCATTTTGTCCTCACAATCACAAATGAAGCAGACTAGGAGATCAGTTATTGTTATGGAGAAGCTGCCTGTATTCACACAGCACAGCAGTTAGCCAAGGAACTAGAAAATACCTGTAAATTTATGAGAGCACTCAGGGACTGAATTGTAAACACAAATGGATTGTTTTAAAATGTGAATTAATATGTCTGGAGATAGTTTAAAAACCTCACTTTTTTTAATATTGACCTCTTCTGTGGTCATTGAAAAATAATCATGGACCAGTCTACCATGAGCTAGATAAAACACCTATGTAAAACACTAATATGCTTTATTTTCTCTGGTGTTAGATACGCCGATGGAGCTCAGCACAAGCACGGGAATTTGGGAATCTCCATAATACAGTAGCATTGCTTGTCTTGCATTCAGATGTCTCTTCTCAGAGGAATGTTGGTGAGTATTGCCAAATCTTTTATACATTTGAAACAAAGAAATGCTGAATTTGTCTAGTATAGAAAGTATCAATGTTTGCAACTGAATGAATATTGTTTCTCACTTGGCTATTTGATACTTGAAGACATTTAAAGTTTTGTTTTAATCATGTTAAACCTCATCTTATTAGTTTGTTATAAGGGAAACTGAGAAAGGTAAATAAGTTTGGTTTCTTTATTGTTTAGTTTTGGGTTGTTTGAACTCAGAGCCTTGTACTTGTTAAGCAAGCAGTCTACCACTTGAGTCACACCCCTGCCTGTATTTGTAAGACTCTAAGGGTTAAAAGTTGTTAATTCACAGTTTATTCAGCACTGCATATAAAAATGAGATAACCCATTCTATATCAGTTGAAGCTTTAACATGGATATTTTGGAGACAGTTATTTGAAGAACAAAAAAAGACTTGTTCAGTTACTCTTTAGTAGCAGCTTTGGGTATTTTCTCATGTACTATTTATATTTTCACCTCTGAAAAATTGTCTTGTGTGGGACTTACTTGAGAGTCTACAACTACAGTTGAAACATATTGCTTTGAAGGAAATAGGTAGACATTTTCTCTTTTAAGGGTACCTTACTTCCCCACTGGACTGAAAGATCAGATGATAAGATTTCAGCAGTTGTGTGTGTGTAATCTTGAGAGCCACATTGCTCTGTGGATATTTGCTTTGTAAAATAACGCCAAGTATGACAGGTTTTGTTTGGTCCCTAAAGCTCCTGGCATATTTAAACAACGGCCACCTGTTAGCATTGCTCCCTCAAGCCCTCTGCTGCCACTCCATGAGGAAGTAGAAGCCTTGCTGTTCTTGTCAGAAGGGAAGCCTTACCTGTTAGAGGTAGGTACTGTGCTCAAGCCATGTTCTCTTCATGTTGTTCTATATGAGGAAGTATCTACTTGTTGCTGTATTTTGCTTCTCACCCTGAAGAGGAGTGTTGTTAAGAGAAGAAATGATTCCTTTCTATGGTTATGTCAAACTCAGAATAAATAGGATGAAGACATATAGGTCAGTGGTAGAGTATGCAATATCTGTTCCTAGCATGTACAAGGCCTTGGGTTCAGTGTCTATCACTAGCATGTACAAAGCCTTGGGTTCCATACCCAGTACCACATACATATGTTACATATAAGAAGAGAATGTTCTTCCTTCCGATCTAATCCTTCCAGTGACTAAACTTCCAAGTCTAGTCCAGCAAGTAGTCCTCCAGAATGTAGCAGGACATAAAATTATACTTCACCTGTTAACATTATCATCATATCAGGGTGAGTTATTCCCAATCTTTTGTTAGTTCCTGATTCTAAACTAGTACCACTTGGAACCATATGTGTTTTTAAATCTAGGAGTGAGAGAAGGCCGCTCTCAGCCCTCTGAGTACAGACTCTGTGTCTGTCCTGAGCCTAAGCCTCCCCTTACACCCAGAGTTACCCCTCCTATGATGTCCTCTTTCTAAAACCTGATTTACATATATGTGAGTGTGGACAGCCTTATCACACTTTTAAATGACAACCACAATGATGTACTATTTTTTTTGGTTTAACATTGTTGAACTCGCAGCAATTAATCTTTCAAGGGCATTTGTCCTTAAAAATTAATGAGTAACTCCTGGGGGGAGAAGGGTGCACATATGACAGAGTTATGCTGCATGCTCATAGAGTTGTAACTGGAAACTGTTTTGTGGTACTGATGTTCTTAAGTCTGTACTTTTGTGTCCTTCCCCCTAGGTCATGTTTGCATTGCGAGAGCTGACTGGCTCACTCCTAGCACTCATTGAGATGGTGGTGTACTGCTGTTTCTGTAATGAGCATTTTTCTCTCACCATGCTGCATTTTATTAAGGTACAATCTCAGTTTAACCTAATGAAAGCTGGTAGCATTCTGTGACATATTAGGAGAGTCTTCCTTTAGTCCTAGGAAATAGCTGGTCATTAATAACATTGTTTTCTTAATTACAAAAGTGATTTGTGTTTATATGTGAAAAGTGAAGAATTAGGAACTCATAATCCTGGTATTCAGTGATGATCAGAAAACGTCTTTTAATTTGTCCTCTATTATGTCCTCTTATTTCCTATTCATATTTTGTAACATAACTGGGATTTTATTGTCTGTAGTTGTATTTTTTTTCACTTAATGTTGTAAATATTTTCCTGTCATTGAGTTATCAGTGAGTATATTTTCTCCTTTCATATACTATAATCTACTTAGCCATTATAGTGCATAGTAATCCTGTAATGACTGTGTAAAATTGTTTTCCAATCTTCATTTTCCCTCCACTGCAGTGTTTTAAAAATCATAAGTAGGGTTTTCTCCCTTTCTAAAATAATAATTAATTTTGAAGCATCACTCATCATAGTAATATCATTCTACCTGCTGGATGCTACAACAGATTTAATTCACTTAGTTCTCAAGTAATGCTATGAGGTAGATAGTGTTCTTACCATTTCATAGCTTAAAGAAAGTGAGTCACAGGGAATAACTAGCCAGGGACCTGCAGCTCATCAGTAGCAGTGGGGGTGAGATGAATCTAGGAATATAGCTGCATAGCTTGTGTTCCTAACTTCATTGCTTACTGCCTTCCTAGGTGTACCTGGAAAAATATTTGAGCACTATTTTTTTTTAGCTTTTCATAGATGATATATTACTAAATTTAAATTCACAAGGCCAAGCCAAAGCCTAGTTTGACTACTACCAGTCATTTTTGTCCCTTTTCCCCACTTTGTCCCAAGGAACAATATTGTCATATTGATAGGTTTCCTTCTGTGCTCTCTATGCATATATATAAATTAGATTCTTCCCACAGAGATTCTATTGCATCAGAATATTTTATCCTGTACTTTATAATAATGATATATGGTAGTTAATGGATTATGTCTTGCAGCTCTTATAAGGAATCCTCTGCCCTCAGCTTTTTCTGTACAGAACTCTTCTGAGGTGATTAAGTCTCCCTCTTAGCTGTTTCCTGCATTTATGACCTTGAGCAGTTTTCCCCTCTGCAAAATGAGAAAAAGACTTGACTTCACATACTGAGAGTGTGTAGTGAGTTGTAGTATGTTATGCTCTGGTACCTTGGAATTGCTGTTAGAATGAAATACCTTCTCGTACCTTAGATGTTTATAAACATTAAGAATGAAGTACCTGGGGCTGGGAAGGTGGCTCAGTGGTAGAGCGCTTGCCTTGCATGCATGAGGCCCTGGGTTCGATTCCCCAGCACCACATAAGCAAAAAGAAAAAAAGCCGGAAGTGGCGCTGTGGCTCAAGTGGTAGAGTGGTAGCCTTGAGCTGAAAAGCTGAGGGACAGTGCCCATGCCCAGAGTTCAGGCCCCACAACCGGACCCCCCCCAAAAAAAACAAAAAAAAACAAAACAACAAAAAAAGAATGAAGTACCTTCTCATACCTTAGATGTTTATAAACATTAAAATGTACAAAGCAATGTGAGTTTTATGAATCTTCTTTTCATGTAGTGCGTTTTAGCAGATGTTTTTATTCAATAAAATGCCTTTGTAATATACTATCCTTAATATTTGCTTGCCTCAATTATTCTATTACCTACACTCACATATTCTAAAAGCAAAATCAGATATGTCCATACATAAATTTAAGTTTGTTCAATAGCTTAAAATTCTCTCCTTTCTTCTTCACCTTCCTTTATTATTGATCAAGTGTCATGGACTATTGAACTAAAAGAGCCTTATTAAAAGTTATTTGTCCCAGATTTAGTATTTAAGGAACCTGAGAGGGGAATTGTCTTGCCTAGAGGCTTCCAGTAATAGAACTAGGGTTTGGTTCCAATAATTTTTGATTACCAATCAAATGGGCTTCCCATTGTAAAGTTTCTGGAATTTTTATTCTTTCCAAACAAATTTCAGAATCAACTAGAAACTGCTCCACCTCATGAGTTAAAGAATACCTTCCAACTGCTTCATGAGATACTTGTAAGTAATAAATGTTCTGATTCACTTACACTTAGATATTTATTAGTATGTGTTTATGAATTACTAGTCCTTCTATTTTTATTTTCTGTTTATTTGATCTGCATTTGTTGAGTCTTCTTCATATCAATTGTGTCCTTCATTCATTACTGATTAGAGATAAGCAGCAGTAAACCTGCACCTGCTTGAATTTAATGAAGTCAGGCCAGAACACATGCAGTAATTGTACAGAGTCAGAGAATGGTGGCTGGCGATTAATCCTTACTGGGGCCTTCCTAGTAAGAGATGAATCTTGCTAAGAACAAATGTTTCCAGGTATAAACTTTAGGAGGTAAATTGTTAGCTTTACAGTCCACTAAATCTTAAGAAGAAGCAATTATGGCTGGGCTCTGAAGGCTCATGCTACTCAGGAGGCTGAGATCTTAGAATCATGGTTCAAAGCCAGCCCAAGCAGGAAAGCTCATGAGATTCTTATCTCCATTAAACTACTAGAAAACCAGAAGTGAAGCTGTGGTTCAAAGTGGTAGAATGTTAGCCTTGAGCAAAAGAGCTCAAGGACAATGCCCAAGCCCTAAGTTCAAACCCCAGGACCAACAAAGTAAAAAGAAAAGGCAGTTATAATGCAGGGGATGGGCGGGGAGAATCAATTACAATCAGCAAAATACAGTACTATTGGAAATAGAGATTTAGAAATACTACGTGATTGGCCTAAAGTCCTTCCTTGGGTAATGTAGGATTTACAGCTGAGCCTTACCTGCCAAATGACTGGTTTTGTGTCCCAGGCTCTCCTCCAGATCCTGAGGAGCTCTGTGAGTTATAAGTGAGAGGTGTGACTAGAGGAAAGAGTGGGAATTAGGTAGGGTTTTAGAAGACAAACCCAAACTAGGATATAAAAGGATTCTGCTACCAATGCCAAAGCATCAACTTCTGTTGGCCACAGGTTATACACAAGGCCTTGAGGGCCAGCTCCCATCTGTACACTGGTTCTGTTTGACCCAAACTGTACTTTTTTCTTTTTTCTGAATTTCCACCAATACTAAAAAATCATGCAATCTAGTCAGTATAATGGCCACCAGAAGCAGTGACCATTTTAGGTGAGGCCTATGTCTGTAGTTTTCCACCATCCTCACCACCACTTTGCATTGTCTGTGACTCAGCCCATTTTGTTCATTGGTCATCTTCCCTGCCTCGATAGTTATATAGCTTACAATCCTGCTCTCCATAGAATTGTTTTTTAAGTAGGAAAATGATGTGACCTGAATCTGGGATAGCAGAATTTCTCTGGTTGGATCTTGGAAGCTGGGATCTGGCAATAATCTTGAGTGTGATACAAGTTTAACAGTAAGGAAGTGGCATGAAGTGAAAGCTCAGGAAGGGACAGATCAAGAGGTACTTTGGGAAGGGAAACTAAATCAAATTCGATAAATGGTATGAGCTGATGTGAGAGGCTAGCACAGAAGCTCTAGAGAGAGGAAGGTCAGGTATGGTAGCACAGGCCTGTAATCCTAGCTATTTGGGAGGTAGAGATCAGAAAGATTAGGGTTTGAGACTAGCCTGGAAAAAAAGTTAGCATTTCCCCTCCTCGATAAGCGAGCTGTGGTGGTATGTGCCTATAATCCCAGCTTCCACATGGAAGGGCTAGGTAGGAAGATCTTGATCCCAGGCCAAAAGTACAAGACCCTATCTGAAAAATAACTAAAAGCAAAAGCTTTGGCTTAAGTGGTAGAATGCTTGCTAGGAGTGCCAATACCAGAGATAGAAAAGAGGATTGTGTTCCCTTTAGATTCCTGGTGCTTAGTAGTATGCCTTGACTCAGAAGAAGCATTGAATTGGCTTGAAATTTAAAAATCTATCATGAATGCCCATCTTTCTGGCTCTTCTTTTGGTCCTAGCACTTTTACAAACTTTAGAAGGACCATGCATTGTCCAAATACATCAGTAACAAACCTAGATAGTTCACTACATTGTTACATTGTTCATTGTCAAAACCCAGACAATATGCTGGTGGCTCACATCTGAAATCCTAGCTACTCAGGAGGCTGAGACCTGAATGAGGATCGCAGTTTGAAGCAGGCCTGGGTAAGAAAGTTTATGAGATTCTTATCTCCAATTATCCGCCGGAAAACGGAAGTAGAACTGTGGCTCAAAGTGGTAGAGCACTAGCTTTGGGCAAAAAAGCTCAGGGACAGTTAGTGCCCAGGCCCTGAGTTCAAGTTCCACAATTGACAAATAGAAAAGGAAACAAAAACATGAAAATAAAGAGACAAATGAAACAGATCCAGCTGTCTGTAACAAAGCAAAACCTTACAAAGCAGCTTTTAGAGTCTGTTGATAGCAAAACTTTTAACATACTTTAGTAAAGAATAAACCTCTTGTCCTTAGGATCCCAAAGTATTATGTCCTCAGCCCACAGAAACTGAATTGTGGAATTGTGAGTCACCAGTGGCTACTACCTAGCCTGTTCCACTCACCAACCTTTGTCTCCTTCCTATCCCAGGTCATTGAAGATCCTATTCAAGTGGAACGAGTTAAATTTGTATTTGAGACAGAAAATGGATTACTAGGCAAGTATGCCTGGCTGAGCCTATCTTCAGTGCCTGTGTAGATAAGCTGTGTTCCCCAAAGCCAACCTGCTGCCATATCTGCTTAGATGACTAATTGGTCCTGTAGATTTCCAGTCAGGGTTACTGGGCTTCCTCATCCTAGCCAGGAAAGTTAAAACCTGAGAATGTGATCTTCTGTACCCTCTTCTACTTCTCCTCAGTAAAGAGTGGCTTGGATCCTTTCTTCAGGTAAAGTTCAGGGGTACTACAACTTTCATACAAGCTATAGACCACCAAAAATCTTTCCGTCCACTTAATAGCCATTGGAAGGGAAAAACCAATAAAGCCTGATTCAGACTATTGTCCGGCATGATGTGTGAATGTACCCACACTACCATTGTCTCAGAAGGCTAACCTCATGTAATAAGCTATGTATTAGGAAAGGGTTAATAAAAACTAAACTTGTCCAACACTCATCATTCACCTTTATTTCCAGCTGATGAATGTCACTTTAGATTTTTCTGTGTAAAGACATGTACTATATGACATTTCTGTCTATAATGAAACATACATACAATTGTGTCACATAAGACCATCCCCAGTAACATGGTAGCCATTTTCCTTTGTGTAAGTTCACTCTGGTGTTCTCCCGGTTTCTCAGAGCATTCCTCTATTGCTAGCAGGACGTGACTATATTAAGAGGAGTTGCAGAGTGTCCTTTCATTGCAGAAAGGAGACTTAAGCTTAAAAAGTTTTTAATAACAATTTTCCAACCCCTTCATTAAGAACAGTATGTTTTAATTAGAGCAGCCTCCAAGCTCTCTGGAACTTAAGCACTTTAAAATGCATAAAAACTGGAACAACGTACTGTTTAGGGGGAAGGGGAGGTTGTTAGTTTTGTTTTGGTTTGGTTTTGTATGGTTGATTGGTTTGGTTTCTTTGAGACAGGTTCTTGCTGTATAGCCCAAGCTGGCCTCAAATTCTTGATCCCACTGCCTCAACTATTATTTATTTCTAAATCTGTAAAATAATTAAGAGCAAATAGTTGAATAGAAAGAACCAGTGTCATAAATTCCTACTTATCTATAACTGTATTACAATTACCCTTCTCTTAGCAGCGTGGTATGTAGAAAGATTTGAATAATTAGTCAGTTGAAATTGTAATTCCATTTTCAGTTCTTTTGAAAGTGAAACTATCACTGCCATGTCTATTTTGTGAACATAGTTAAAGTAGCATTTTTACCCATTAGAATTGGAGAAGTTCTGTTGAGTGAGGCATCACTGTAGCTTTCACTAAGTTATTTCCTGTCCACTTATCAGCATAATTTTCGCAACAGTAGAGCTTGGTATGACATAGCCCCTCTTTCAGTTCAGTGTCTAATTGTTAAATGTTCTCTCCTCTGCCTCCAGCTTTGATGCATCACAGTAATCACGTTGACAGCAGTCGCTGCTACCAGTGTGTCAAATTTCTTGTAACTCTTGCTCAAAAGTAAGTATGGGCTTCAAATGCATAGAGGAAAGTGCCTTTTAACAGCAAGTCAGATATGACTGTGGGGTGGGGGGGAGAATCTGTCTTTTTTTGAGCCTTAGTCTGATTTAGTCAGAACATTCCTCCTGGGAGGCCAGAAACCTGTTTAGCTGACCCTCAGAAAATGTAGAGAGAATATTAGAAGAGTCATGTATCTTATCAAATTCCTATAAGAGAAAAACTATCTGGACACCAATGGCTCACACCTGTAATCCTGGCTACTCAGGAGGCTGAGATCTGAGAATCATGATTCAAAGCCAACCTGGGCAAGGAAGACCATAAGACTCTTACTTCCTTTTACCCAGAAAAAAAGTGGAAGTGGAGCTATAGCTCAAGTGATAGAGTGTTAGCCTTGAATGAAAGGACAGTGCCCAGGCTATGTTCAAGCCCTGACATTAGCACACAAAAAGAATAAATAAATAAATAAAAGAAGAGCAGGAATTGAGCAAGAGCTCATGAACCTTCTCAAGGTCTCTTCCATTAAGTACTAACTCATTCAAGCTCTGGTTCTCCAGTTTCAAAGCAAGCTTCCCAAGGGACAAAATTCTTGTCACCTATAAATTGAGCAGTTAAGAACCAAGGCATTATGTGAAGCACTTGGCTTGAGTTGTCTTATTTGATCTTTGCAGCAGTCTCTTGAGGTAGATAAATTAGTTTATTATAGGTGGCTTATATGACATGCCTCAAGTCATAGAGCTAAATAAAAACACAGGCTGGTGGACCCCCAGGTGAAAGTTCTTTTTCTTTTGATTGTGGGGCTGGGAAGGTGGCTCAGTGGCAAAGTGCTTGCCTTGCATGCATGAGGCCCTGGGTTCGATTCCACAGCACCACATAAGCAAAAAGAAAAAAGCCGGAAGTGGCACTGTGGCTCAAGTGGTAGGGTGCTAGCCTTGAGTGGAAGAGCTGAGCTATAGTGCCCAGGCCCAGAATTCAGGCCCCATGACCAACAACAACAAAAAAAAAATTATTTTGTTAACCACTTTTATGTACACAACTTAGCAGTACATATTATTGTACAACTGCAATCACCCTTTAACTCCAGGATTCTTTTCATCTTCTAAAATTCAGTGTCTTTACCCGTGCAACATTGAGCCCCATTTCGCTTTTTGCCCAGCCCTTCACAACCATTCTGATTTGTCTCTGAATTTGACTGCTGAAAGTACCTCAGAATACAGCATACAGCATGTATCTTTTTATGCATAGTTTATTTGATTTAGCATGTCTTCAGAGTTTGTCCATTTTATAGCATGTGTCAGGCAGGAATTCTTCCTGTTGCCACATTTTGTTAACTGATGGGGGGATACTTGGAAGGCATGGTTCTTATTATCACTTGATTCATTTTACTCTGACTCTTAAGTATGGGGATTGCCATGTTTGGACTTGAAACAGAATGACAAATCTATTATATTTACTCTGCTACATTTAAACTTCCTATCCAAACTGGGCACCAGTGGCTCACACCTGTAATCCTAACTACTCTGGGGGAGTGCTGAGATCTGAGGATGATGGTTCAGAGCCAGCCAGGGCAGGAAAATCCTTGAGACTCTTTATCTCCAATTAACTACCAGAAAACCAGAAGTGGCGCTGTGGCTCAAGTGGTAGAGTGCTGGGTTTGTGCTGAATTGCTCAAGGACAGCTCCCAGGCCCAGAATTCAAGTCCCACAACTGACTAAAAACAAAAACCTTCCTAACCAGACAAATTAGAACCCAGGTAAAATAAAGCATGAACTATGTTTTCCAAATGATTAGTATTGTGGACACAAATGAATATTATCATCATGCCACAATTGTTGGTTCATTAATTAGACTTGATATTGGTGGTGTGTCGAGTAACATTTCAAATAGTACTGGGGCCACATAATATGTCTAATACTTGCAAATACTCATTTCATTGTCAGTCTCTTTCCATGTACATCTTCATTCTTCACAAACTGATTTCTTCTATACACCAGTGGAGACAGCTTCCTAAATAAGTAAGGATAAACAGAAAAGGGAGAAGGGGTTCCCAGACCATGCTTTAAAATTATTGTTTCCATAATGGCTTTCATTCTTTGAGAGGCTTTGCACTGCATGTTTACCTTTGCAAGTTAAATGCATTATCTAGAAAAAAAAATAAAAATATAATACAGAGACAGCTGACTTAATGAAGGTGGTATATGTTTCTATGATACAAAGGTATCATAGATTGGATAGGAATATTTACAAAGAAAGCATTCAGCTGATAAGTCTTCTTGATCACCAGGTGTCCTGCAGCTAAAGAATACTTCAAGGAAAATTCTCACCACTGGAGTTGGGCTGTGCAGTGGCTACAGAAGAAGGTAATTGAATTTTGAACTTCTCTAGGTATAACATAGGAGTTAATAACCACATATCTGATCAGAGAAAATCTCCTAAACCTAAATGGTAGACTGACCTCCAGGAATTTTCAGACTTGAAACATTTTTTTAGTACAGCCAATGCCTACTTGTCTGTGTTAAGGTTATGTCTCAATACTTAAGTTTGTGTTCCCTTCTCCATAGGGATATGCCCCAAAACCACAGATGGCACTGAGCTCTGGATATTCTTAGATACACTTCTCTGTGATAATACTTAGTTTACATTTTAGGTCTAGTATAGATTAATAATAATTATAAACTAGGAAGGAGAAGGATAATAAGATAGAATGCCATGAAAGTTATATGAATGTGGTCTTTTTTTTTTTTTTTTTTGCCAGTCTTGGATCTTGAACTCGGGACCTAGGCACTGTCCTTGACCCTCTCTGTGCTCAAGGCTAGCACTCTACCACTTGAGCCACAGCGCCACTTCTGGCCTTTTCTGTTTATATGGAACTAAGGAATTGAACCCAGGGATTCATGCAAGCACTCTACCACTAAGTCACATTCCCAGCCTCTGAATATGGTCTCTTTGTCTCTCCGAATACCTTGTTGTGCTGAATTCTCCCTTGTGATAATATGATATGGCTCAGGGCCTAGATGATGTGGATGGGATGAATGACAACTTTGAGATGTAGGTAGCAATGCTGCTGTTTCAGTTCTGATAGATCTGTCACTGCAAGGATTGCTGGGCCACTAACGGACAACATAGATATATTGCTGGGCAGAGAAATGACTTACATTTGGGCAGAGCAGTGCAACATATGATACTCAGACTGTCATATGGTTTAAAACTTAGGAACTGTTCAATTTCTTAGCCTTAACTATTGAATGATTTTGGGTAACAAACTGAAGGAGTCCAAGTTGTGTACATGCCTTAGTGCAAAGGCAGGAATGATTATATATGGAGCATTTTTCCCTTGAGTTTTTGTTGTTATTGGTGGTGGTGGTGGTGGTCATCGTCATGGGGCTTGAACTCTGGACCTGGGAGCTGTCCCTTAGCTCTTCAGCTCAAGGCAAGCGCTCTACCACTGAGCCACAGCTCCACTTCCGGTTTTCTGGTGGCTTATTGGAGATAAGCGTCTCACAGACATTCCTGCCCGGGCTGGCTTTGAACTGCGATCCGAGATCTCAGCCTCCTGAGTAGCAAGGATTTCAGGCATGAGCCACCTGCGCCCGGATTTCCCTTGAGATTTTAAAAGAAGAAAAGGAGTCCTCCATGGTGTTTTGGGTGGTGAACAGTCTGGGTAGATTTCCATCCTAGGCCTTTTTAGTTCAGATATCTCTTGATTGAAACTGGACGTATGGGGGCTTACTTGCCATCTGATGGCATGCTCACCTTTCATCCTAGATGTCGGAGCACTATTGGACACCACAGAGTAATGTTTCTAATGAAACCTCAACTGGAAAAACCTTCCAGCGAACCATCTCAGCGCAGGTGAGAACTGTCTTTGTGCTTGTGTGCTTTTAAAGCCTTTGTTCAGGGTTTTCAGAAACCACTGCTGAGGGAAAAGAAGTGTGAGTTGAAAATCCCTAACCTTTTGTGCTTGTGTTTGAATCTACTGCAGGACACATTAGCATATGCCACAGCTTTGTTGAATGAAAAAGAACAATCAGGAAGCAGCAATGGGTCAGAGAGCAGTCCTGCCAATGAGAATGGAGAGAGGCACTTACAACAGGTACACATATCCCCAGGGACCTATCTTTGACTGAAAGCACAGCACCTGCACTTTAACTTCTGAAAAGACTCCAAAGTCAAGAAATAAACGATGTTACTCAGAGTATTTGTAAAGAATGATAAGACAGTGTAGCCCTCTGGCACTGGTACTGTCCGTTGAGAATGCACTAGCCTTGCACAGCTTAACAGCACTGTAATGTGAGAGGAGTGGTAGACTGCAAGATATGTGGCCGTAGATTACAGCCACGTGAAGATGGCCCCTTGCACCTGACTGCAGATGTATGGATCCAGGTATTCAGGCTACATGTGCTGATGATCTCTCCTTTGCTCTCCAGCCTTTTTGGATGTGGAAACCCTCAAAAGGAAAGATGTACTGAAGTACATCTGTTTACAATAGTCTTTGAATAGTTAACACCTAGATTTTTTTAACGTTTTCATTATTACCATACAGAGAAAATGAATATTGATGAAACACCTAATACATGCAAAATAACTTAAATGTGAATGTAATTGTGTCTGTTCTTCTTCTCCAGTAACCTGTGTCTGTGGTGCCAGCATAGGACCTGACAGAGTCAGTCACACTAAGGGAAGGCAGTTGGGGGTTGTTTAGTGGTTTCTTTAAGCACTATCTTTGACCTTCTCAACTTGTGGGACAGCCACTACCTGATTTTACAGAAGGAAGCAGGACTACCCAGGCCAGGTCACTGTTGGCGGTTTACCAATCACCTGCTTTATCTGTAGAGAAAATAATGGCAAGCTCCTGTGGCCAGGCTTAAACCCTGATATCTGCAGAAAGTTGCCTCTCACCTGATACCATCCTGAACAGTTTCTTTCCCATCTTCTTAAAGAACTTTCTCTTCCTTCTTACCCCGCACCTTCTCTTCTCTTCCTCACAGACTTTTCCAAACTTAGCTGTCCCCCTTTTCTTTTACCTCACATGCATTCTTCAGCTTCCTCCAGGGTTGACTTCCTCTTCTCTACTCCGTAGGTGAGACAGCAAGTAGCCTTTATTTCTCAAGTCTCATCTTAGCTACCTATCCAGCAGCATATGTTGCTTACTGGCCATTCCTCCCTTTCTGAAACACTCTCTTCCAGGCCTCCCACAGCTTCTCATATTCTAGGTTTCCTTGGACCCCTCTACTTGTTCTTCTCCAAATAGCCTCCTCCAGAACCCCAAGTCCCCATCCTGTGTCCTAGGCCCTCCTCAGTACTTTCATCCCCACCTAGTATAAGCTTCTTTGGAGCTCCAGACTGGATAGGACATCCACCTGCCAGGTCTCAGAAAATACCCCAGTCAACCTGCCAGTGTCCTTTACCTCAATACCAAGCCAAACCAGAATATAACATCCAAACCAGTGCACACACAGGCTGCGGTCAGAAGACCTGTTTCAGAGTTTTCACCTGCCCCTTTGTCTACCTCGAGCACTTCTGTGTCTTAACTCTGCAACTCTTCTGCCTTCACTTTGCCTCCTCTGTGGGTGAAAACATTCTGGGGCTTTACTTTGCTGTTAGGTAAACACAAGGTTCCTACATAAAGTCCTGCTTGATCAAATCCCTGCATAATTCTCCCTCATCTTTTCCTGATTTTAATTTGTCAGATTTGCTTTTTCTTCTTCCTCTTAGGTTTTTCTCATATATATCATTAAACCCCAGTCAGTTTATGTGTCACTTCCATAGGAAAGTGACCCTTGTCCTTCCCTGTCCCAACTTCAATAACTACACAATTGGAGAGAGAAACAGCCTGCAAACCCCAGAAATACACAGCCCATCCAGCAAATACAGTGGTAATGGTAGTACCTCTCTGCTTGGTACTCTTGCTCACTGGAATTCTAATTGGAGCCGGTTTGTAAGGGTTGTGACTAAACAAGACTATTTCAGTGAAATTTTTTGCATTGCATAATCAATAGTCACAGTACAAAGATTGTGTTTTATTACCTTTTAATAGACATAGATTTAATTGGTTAGATGAGAACATACAGAATATGCATAAGGGACTATATAGACACTAATTTCCTATTCCTTCCTCAGGGATCAGAATCTCCCATGATGATTGGCGAGTTAAGAAGTGACCTTGATGATGTTGACCCTTAGAAGACTGTGCCTAGCACCTGACAACACTGGGTGCTTGGCACCTCAAGAAACCAGAATCTCATCCTCAAAGCCCTTGGCGGAGCCTGGAGAGCTGGGAAAGTGTGACTCTGGAGGGCCATGTGCTCTGAAGGAAAGCTTTCTTTGGCCCCTAGAGGGTTGGGAGATGTTGGCAGACAAACTCCAGCAAGTGGATCCATGTCCTGCATGTGGGTTGACACTTGTGTGGAGACCAAGGAAACAGAGCTGCTGCCAAGCTCCTGTCCCATGAGCACACAAGAGAGGGGTAAGCGGTGGCTTTGTCTTCATTGCCACAAGAGAAACTCCTTTGTTTTTATATTTTATGGGAAAAAGGCGAGCTGCCTTTTGGTGTGTGGGGGAAAATTTTTAATGTTACAGTAATATTGAGTAGGAATATCCCATTTAAAATGATGTAAAGATATGTGGTAAAACTCCTTTTCATGTAAAGTAGTGGCTGAAGAATTGCGTTTACATGGACCTTTGTATTTAATATGTCTCCCTCTCCATATAGCATTGCCCATGGGTCTGGTTGAGAGCTCTGGGCTTAGGCTTGGACCTTGAGGAAAAGCTATCAGGAACAAAACTGGAACATTCACTAAGCTCTTGAAGGTACTTTCTGATACGATTAAGACTGAAAAGAGCAATAAAAACACTGTGTTCTGCAGAAGCACAGGCTGCACCCTTGGCCGTCAATCCTAAGGAGGTTATGGTTGCTCACAAAACAGATTTTTTAAGTGAAATTAAAAGCACTTTCAGATAAAATTTTTATCCAGTTTGACTTCTTAAAATTTATCTTTTTAGTGCTTGGAGACATATTGAATAAACTGTAGTCTCAAACCATGTGACCTGCAATCATTTGCTTTAACCTGATCAGAACTGCAGCGGCCCTTTAACATTGGCTGTATATGAAGTTAGGTATCTAGATTGGGAGTCCCTGTTTTCTGAGTTTCATTATAAGTTTAATGCTGAGATTTACCTTGAAATTTTATTTCTCCTCAATGATTAGTACTATAAAGGCAAGGTATAAGAGTGACTTACTCAGAAATCTCTTAAGAGTGACTGAACACTCATCCATTCAGTTATACTGCCCAATGTAGCATCATAGCTCATCAGATTCAGAGGCCTAGGGCAGTAGGGAAGAAGTGGAAAAAGACCTTTCCTGTATTGTGTACCTTTTATATGTTGAATTGCTTGGTTTCAGCCTTTTTTTGGCTTTAGATACACTTTCTGCTGTATTTTCCACTCACCATGTGCAGAGCTTGGGAACCTTGGGAAGTGCCAGATTACCAGTGTCAGCCAGAGTTGCCAAGTCAAAGAGGCCCAACCAGCCCCAAAGTGCCTTTCTGGTTGTTTTGCATCTGTGGGGGCACATAACAGAGGTGACAACTTCCCTTCTGTGCACTTAGAATAGCCCTTTCTTCCACTGTCCCCTGCAAAAGTCCACTTGTGGAACTTTTGTGGCAAGCAGCCAGACCCATACCCAGGAGGAGATGGAAGGCCAGCATTGGAAAGAACTCTGCCTCCAAAGCACACAGATGAGTAGCAAATTTGGAATGATTCCAATATTCTTACAATTTTGAATGTGAGGTTCTAAAGTTGATTTTAAATACCTGAACACCCCTTGCTCTGCTACACACACATACACACACCCAACACACACACACACAAACACTTCTCTCCACACCCATCTTTGCTGAAAGATAGTGTGAGACATGCATTGAAATGCTGGCGGTGATATGTGTTGGGTTATAGTCGCCAGCAACTGCACTCAGGAGCCAAATTCAGGAGTGAAATGGCCACTTCTAGTCCCTTATTTCCTATGGAAACGATGATGCCCTCCACCCCTGTACCTGCCGTCTCTCCTCATGGGAAGCCACATCAGGATCGCTGTCCACTCTACGCTTTGATTCATTGTTATGTTGTTGCTGCAATGAGCATCATTTCTGCTTTACCAGCAACCACCCCAATTCCTGTGGCTGCAGTCAACAAACCTGCTGAGGACTGTTTTTAATGTCTTACCACAAAGTGACAATTGTGACAGGCTTGCCTTGGAAGAGTTGTCATTTTTACTGCCAATTTTTTGGATGACGTTTTTATAATCTTTCACAAAGTCTGCAAATCAAGCAGGAATTGCACAACTTACTCAATGCTGTGTGTTCTCGAGAAGCTCCCTGAGTCCAGGCTGTTCGTGGGACCTGCAGGTACCCTGGGACAGATGAGCAAGCACCCTGTGAGCAGCTTGCCCACAGTTCTCCTGACAGACTGGTGTGGCCACTAACAAAAGTTGAAAGACCTAGAGCACGAGCCATCAGGCGCATGTGGCTCACCCTTCCCTCCCTGCTGACATGGAGGCCTGTGCAGACCTCTGAGCTTCTGAACCAGCAGACTGGAATTTTCCTCTGCTACCTCTGTGTACAAAGTCTTGTTTATAAAATTTCAAAAGAAAGTAGGTAAACTAGGGAGGAATCTTAATTCTAAGCTTGGGTCATGTGTACAAGAGATCTTAGCTTGTAAGAGTATAAAATAAATTTTCCAAAAATGAGTGAGTTAGTCTCACAGACATTTTTCTCCAAATATCACAATAGGTGCATGTGGGGAGCCGGATCACAAGGGTCTGAGGCGCGGCCCTAGGTGGCGTTATGCTCCTTTCCCACACTCTGCTCTGACTGGTGGTCAAGGCCACTCTGCAGTAAGGATCTGTGGGTGTCCTGGCCCCTCTGAGATCTTCCTCTACCCAGGACTCCTTTGTAAAGCTCGGGCAAGGATGCCAAACTCAGGCTAATGGTCTATAGACATCCTCCCTGGAGCTTTGGCTCTCCCAAGGAGTTCACTACCCACTAAAAATCATGTCTTCCCCATTCCCTGCTCCTATAAAGTCTTCCTTCTGTTCTCATTCCTTGTGTCCTGGGTTGCTTACATGAGTCTCTCCCTGGTGTTATTTAAGATCCTTCCCTGCAGTCCAAGACCCTTCCTCATAATCATGGAAACCAACTGCCAACTCTCTGTAGGAAACTGTTTAAGCACAACCATCAGTCTAGGCTTGGCATCAGTCCTGGGTCTTCAGGGAAAGGGCAAGGGGGGAGGTGTAGTGGAACTAGAAATACAGATCTGATATTCATTATCATCCATTAACTAGCGAGCACTCTCACATACGACACGGAATTGTCAAAAGATAATCCATCACTTTTACATTGGCTGTGTGGAGGTAGACATTTCCTAAACACAGTGACCCTTGCCAACCTTAGCTGGGGCTTGGAGGTCCTACACTGAATGGGATGACCATACTTTGTAAAGTGGATAAAGAACAAAACCATTTGCTACATGAATTGTATAGAGAGGCTTAGCAGAACAATGTTCCTCCAAACTGGATGGTTTGGAGGAATAATGATTCAAATCCAGCCCAAAATGAGTAGAATGAGTTTTACTAAGGGTCTTTAAAAAGCAGTAGATAATTGTAGGGACTCTTGTTTACTCAGAGTCTCCCAAAAGACAGAAACTTTCCTTTAGTCCACCTGGAAAGCGTTTAATTCATATTACTCTAAATCTGGTACAGAAACGTGAATGAGAGTGCCACCTACTGCCAGAAGAGATCACTGCAGGCTGAAATAGAAGACATCCTGGAAAAGCTACGTTTATTATGCTAGTCCTTGTTCTTCTCTGGGGTCCTGTGGACCTGACAGACACCATACCATGGAGCAGGGGGCTTGTGCTACAGTGTGACACCAAGTGTAACTCCATGGCAGCATGATAGTTGGAAAGCTAGCCACATGCCAGGCTTGGTTTCAAGTCAAGAACCTTGACTCCTTAGAAGCATCTGCAGGTTTGTGAACAGCGGTTCCATGAACATTCTCTGTGTTAGGCCCTGTCCTCTGGGATGGGGCCTGGGATGGGAGCAGAGTTGGGGACTTGGGCTCCGTAGTGGAGCAGATCCTAGGATGTGGGGCTTAGGGTGGCTCCATGTCGATATTCAGGGTGCTCCTGTAAGATGAGCACCAGAGGGAGCTCCTGGTCTCCCTGCCAGTCCCAGCGGAGCCAAGCACTCTCCTGCTCACTCAAATACAACTACATAATCAACCTTGTTACAAAACCTGCAGTAAATATCAAGTCACAAAAGCAAAACAGGTCAGAAAAGGTGCTTTGTATAATTATAAGGGCAACAGAGAACTGGTGTGAGATGCACATCCCTGTAATCCTAGCTACTCAGGAAGCTAAGATTTGAGGAGCTCAGTTAAGGCCAAAGCAAGAAAGTCTTAGAGATTCTTACCTACAGTAAACTGCTCAAAAAGCTGGAAGTAGAGCTGTGGCTCAAGGGGTAGAGTGCTAGCCTTGAGCCAGAAAGGCTCAAGAACATCACTGAGGCCCTGAGTTCAAACCCTAGAACTGACACAAAGGCAACAGAGACCCAATGGATAGGTGAGTGTTCATTCTGATGTTTATTCACATGTGGGCAGCTAATTCTTACACATGCCACCTGCACCCCTCACGTGTCCACCCAGCCTCCACAAGTGAGACCACCATGGGGAAGGCCCATGCCCCCAGGAAGAAGCCCTAGAGCAAGTAGGCTCTGGCTGCCTTCATACCCTGTTTCCTGCAGAAAAAGGTACCCAATCTGCCACCCCCCTTTAAATCGCCTCGAAATTGCCTCGCTTCGCACTGTGTGCCTGGCAGGTCCTATTCCCTATGGCTCTCTTTCTTCCATAAAATACGGCTGCCAGTGTACACGGTGTAGGGCCAGAATTCACCACCACCACCCCTGAAGCTCAGCCTTGGTCAGCACCAACCAGCAGGCCGCTCTACAGATGGCCTGAGGGCTGGATCCGGCAGCAGATGGCGGTGACTGTTACTGGTCCTTCCTCACCGGCCCTTTCTGTTTCCTCAGAATCCTGGTGCCTCACCACACAGGTGTTGTCCACAGGGAAAGCTCCCAGGGTGACTGAGGTCTCAGGATGGGCACTGCAGCTGGTCAGGGTCCAGCCTACATCACAGCTCACGGTGACCTGCCAGAGTCCAGACAGCACAAGTAAGGCCAGGTCCCGCATGCATGGTCAGGTCTCTAAGCCACCTGCTACACTGTCCCTCCCAGCAACCCTCAGTGGGGACCAAACTGTGAACACCTGGCTTGCTTCTGCCCCTCATACCCCAAAGGGGCTGTGTCCAACACTGCCCACCATTCCCTCAGGGTGCTTCAGCCCCAGCCTACCAGGACACTGCAGCCCAGACAGACATCTCAACAAACCAAAGCCCCTCCCACTTCCCCACAGGCCACACCTCCCACAGCCTTCCCCACCCAGTGATGGCAACTCCATCCCCCCAGCAGCTCCACAAGACCTTGCAACAGCCCTCCACTCCTTGTTGCAGCTCATCCCAGACCAGAGCCACCAGCCTCAGGTCCCAAACTCCTCCTGCCATGGCCTCTAGAGGCTAGCTCTCAGACTCCAAGAGGCCAAGTGTGACTTGCCCTCCCTTCAGAGATCTGCCTTCTTCCTCCAACCTTCCATGGGTGCTCAGGTGTTCCAACCCTGAGCAAACTCATGGTAGGCTTGTTAAGTACAGAAGTGTAGCTGTGTGTGTTTGAGCGCGCACACGCATGCACAATCATGCATGCCAAACCTGGGGCTTGAACACAAGAACTGAGCCACAGTTCCACTTCTAGCTTTTTTTGGTCAGTTAATTGGAGGTAAGATTTCATGGACTTTCCTGCCCAGGGTGGCTTTGAGTCCAGTCCTCAGTTCTCAGATTCCTGAATAGCTAGGAATACAAATGTGAGCCTGCTTTGTTTTTTAAGGCAATACTGGGGTTTGAACTCATGAATGTTAAGCCGACACTTGACTACTTTAGTCATATGCCCACGTTCACTTTAGTTATTTTTCAGATAGGATCTCACTTTTTGATTTTGTTTTGTTTTTGTTTTTTGCCCAGCTGGCCCCGAGCTACATGCAGTTCTCTTACCCATGCCCCCCCCCACACACACACAGCCACTATTTCAGTTGTACCAACACACCCAGCTTATTTGCTTAGATGGGATTTCTTAACTTTTTGCCCCAGGAAGACTCAAATTGAGATCCTACTTCCTATGAGTAGGAGGTGCAACAGGTACAGCATTACATTACTGTGTCAATCCTCAGCATTGCATTTCTTCTTCTTTTTGTCAGTTGTGAGGCCTGAACTCTGGGCCTGGGCACTGTCCCTCAGCTCTTCAGCTCAAAGCTAGCGCTCTACCACTTGAGCTACAGTGCCACTTCCGGTTTTCTGGTGTTTTATTGGAGGTAAGAGTCTCACCGACTTTCTTGCCCTAGCTGGCTTTGAACTACCATCCTCAGATCTCAGCCTCCTGAGTAGCTAAGATTACAGGCGTGAGCCACCGGCGCCTGCTTGCATTTCTTTATACAGTATTTATGTATGTTATCCTCAAAGGGATACAGGGGACTTGGAGAGCAAACCTTGCTGATCTGGACAGAAACAAAATCAAGCCCACCACACACAGGAGAATGTTGTACAGGACAACAGAGAGGCTCAGGTCCTCCCCTGGGCAATGCAGGCCTCAGCCATCTCCACCCCACCTCCCACATCCCCAACCCTTTACCTTCTCCAAGGGATTGAAACGCCTGTACTTCGTTGTGCACAGCAGGCCCGGAGCATGGCAGCAGGAAGCATGGACTCTGGCCTCTTTGTGCCCCGCACACCATCTGGGCTGATTAGGACCTGGTTTCCTTGTAGTATGTGGGTAATCACCAAGATTCTCTATCCCCCAATGGGAGCTGCAGCCTTGGGCAGAGGAGGGACAGCTCACACACTGGAATGCCCGGGACCCTCTAGCTTTGTTCCCTTAATCACACCCCTTTCTCTGTAAGGTTCAAAACCAGGAAAGCTCTGGAGCAGCTCTGAGTAGAACAGACTTTGGCTTGAGCAGCAGGACTTCCAGCATAGCTCTGCAGCTGACCTGACTTGTAGGACCTTGGGAGAGCAGCTCAACTGCTCTGAGCCATAGGTTCCTGGGAATCACATGGTCTCTTTTCCACCAAAGAAGGGGAGCCCTGGGACAGAGTTCCCAGGACTAGATGTTCAACTGCTCCTCACCCCAACTCCCTCCCACCTCAGGTCTCTTCCTCATCCAAATCCAGAAGTTGAGCATGAGCCTAGTTCTATGGGTTTAGGAGTCATGTACACCTGGCTGTAAAATCATGGCCAGTTTGCTGGAGTCCATAAGTCAAGCCTCCATTTCCCTGTTGACTCAGGATAGCATTGACTCACAGAGTTGCTGCTAGGCTGAAGCAGGAACATGCCTGGGAAGTCCCTGTATTGCCCAATGCAGGACCCAGGCTCTGCCACATTAGGGTTATGATAACCAGGACCAGAGCCCTTGTCCCAGCTCTGTGGCTTTCCTAAAGGCACCCAGCCACTTTACCTGCAAATGGAACTTGGCATGGACTACGCAGTGAGTGCCTGTGGTTCTGCCAGCTTTGCCAAAGGCCAGGCTTCCTGCCAGGCCAGCAGCCACATGGAGCTCTTGTTCTGGACAAGGCTCCAGCCACTGGGCTCATC